GTGGCACGACCATCGCTATGTAAATGTCTGTGCAAATACCCTGGTGTCAAGCCACCAATTCTCCAGTGAGGCAGGACTACCTCCTGAGACCATCACTTCCCAGCCATGCGGCCCAGGGCAACGACCATCTGCTCCCTGTTCTTCCTGCTACGGGTCCTGGCTGAGCCGGCTAAAAACTCGGACTTCTACCTGCCTGGGGATTACCTCCTGGGTGGCCTCTTCACCCTCCATGCCAACATGAAGGGCATTGTTCACCTTGACTACCTGCAGGTGCCCATGTGCAAGGAGTGAGTCTCCAGTGTGGGGCTGGAAGTGGCAATGGGGATGGGGTGGGAGGCCAGGTCTGGTCCTGTGGGTCCTTGGGAGCTAGGCCAGGACCAAGGGCTTAGAGCACTCCTCCCCATTCACTGCCAACCCCCTTATTCTAGATCCATGCTCCTAGCCCTCAGGGAGGCCTCATACAACACGGGTTACCAAAATCTTTGACGATTGTGCTCTGAAACACTGAGACTTGGGTCATCTCAGTGTCATTTATTTTTTTTTAAATAGAGTTACAGAATGTTCAAATCTAGAGGGCTCTTAGAGGCGATCAAGACTGTTCCCACCCACTTTGGCAACTGGGGGACTCCCAATGGGTCCATGTAAAAGCCCATTTGAAATCCTTTGGGAGGCAGAATGTGATTTTTCTGTATCAAGTTCTCAGACTGCATCTTCCAAGGGCTGTGGCTGGGTGGGCAGGGGTGCTTTGGGGCCTAGAGGGGAGTTCCTCTTCCCCCACCTTCTCCATGAGCCCCTTGGGATGATGGCATCACTTGGAGATTGTGGCGGCTGGGTGCATCTGCATGTAAGCACAAAGGCTGGGACATAGAACCAGCCTGGGGCTATAAAACAGTGACCTCTTGCAGAGAGGGTGAAGGTATTGTGGGAGACAAGGAGAAAGGTAGGACAGTGCAAAAGATGATTAAGGGTTGACTATAAGAAATGCATTATTTATGAAATTGGGAAAGATTATATGCTGGCTTGAGAATGGTGAAGGTGATGGCACCAGGCACAATGCTGGATTTTCTAATGCTTGTGACCATGGTGGGGAGTATAATGAAGGTGATGGTGATGAAAGTAATGGTGATGATGCTGACAATGTTGATAACAGTAATACTGGTGATGATGACAATGAGAAAAAGTATGATGGTGATGGTGATGATGATGGTGGTAACGGTGGTGATGATGGTGACAGTAGTGATGATGGCAGTGGTGGTAATAGTGTTGGTAATGATGGTACTGGCAGTGATAATGGTGATGATGATGATGGTTTTAATGATAGTGTTGGTGATGATGGTGATGGTAGTGATGATGGCGTTGGTGGTGTTGATAATAGTGATGCTGATGATGGTGCTGATGGTGGTGATGGTGTTAGTGATGGTGTTGGTGATTATGGCAGTGGTAGTGATGATGGTGATGGTGGTGTTGATGATAGTTTTGCTGATGATGGTGCTGATGGTGGTGATGGTGTTAGTGATGGTGTTGGTGATTATGGCAGTGGTAGTGATGATGGTGATGGTGGTGTTGATGATAGTGTTGGTGATGATGGTGCTGATGGTGTTAGTGATGGTGTTGGTGATGATGGTGATGGTAGTGATACTGGTGATGGTGTTAGTGATGGTATTGGTGATGATGGTGATGGTAGTGATGATGGTGATGGTGGTGATCGTAGTGATGCTGAAGATGGTGCTGATGGTGATGATGGTGTTAGTGATGGTGTTGGTGATGGTAGTGATGATGGTGATAGGGTGGTAATAATGGTGATGCTGATAATGATGGTGCTGATGATGATGATGGTGATGATGGTGTTACTGATGGTGTTGGTGGTGGTAGTGATGGTAGTGGTGATGTTGGTGGTGATGGTGGAAATGGTGGTGGTGATGGCGATGATGATGTTGATGACAGTGGTGATAGTGGTGGTGATGGTGGTGGTGCTGATAGTGATGGTGATGGTGTTGATGGTGATGATGGTGGTGATGATTGTCACAAGGTTGTGGTGACAGTGATGGCCCTGGTGGTGATATTGGTAATACGGATAGTGGGTGATGATGGTGATAGTGATCATGGTGTTAGTGATGGTGCTGGTGATGATGGCGATGATAGTGATGCTGGTGATGGTGTTAGTGATGGTGTTGGTTGATGATGGTGATGGTGGTGATCGTAGTGATGCTGATGATGGTGCTGATGGTGGTGATGGTGTTAGTGATGGTGTTGGTGATGGTAGTGATGATGGTGATGAGGGTGGTGGTGATGGTGATGCTGATAATGATGGTGCTGTGATGGTGATGGTGGTGAGGGTGTTACTGATGGCGCTGGTGATGGTAGTGGTGATGGTGATGGTGATGTGAAAATGGTGGTGGTGATGGTGGTGATGATGATGATGGTGGTGATAGTGATGGTGCTGATAGTGATGGTGGTCGTGGTGATGGTGATGATGGTGGTGATGATGGTCACAAGGTTGTGGTGACAGTGATGGCCCTGGTGGTGATATTGGTAATACGGGTAGTGGGTGATGATGGTGATAGTGGTGATGGTGATGATGGAAGTTTTAGTGGATAATGGTGGTCACATTAGTGGACGTCAGTAGAGTGGCAATGGAGGTTATAGGGATGGTATTCATTATGGCCACATGGATAATAGTGTCAGTGGTGGCCATATGGGCAATGGTGATCCTAGAGATGTGGTATGGTGACAATGACATGGTGAAAATGCCTGAGTCTTCTGCAGTGGTTCCTTCTCAGTCAATGCCTTGGCTTTCCTGTGGCAGGGAGGAGGAGCAGACTGGTTCTCTTATCCCTCCCTTCTTCACTCTGGATCTGCTTCCATCTCATACTGCTGTGGCCCCTCCAGGTATGAAACGAAGGTGATAGGCTACAACCTCATGCAGGCCATGCGCTTTGCGGTGGAGGAGATCAACAATGACAGCAGCCTGCTGCCTGATGTGCTGCTAGGCTACGAGATGGTGGATGTGTGCTACGTCTCCAACAATGTCCAGCCGGTGCTCTACTTCCTGGCACAGGAAGATGACCTCCTTCCCATCCAAGAGAACTACAGTAACTACGTGCCCCGTGTGGTGGCTGTCATTGGCCCTGACAACTCCGACGCTGTCATGACTGTGGCCAACTTCCTCTCCCTCTTTCTCCTTCCACAGGTGAGGCTCCTGGGCCCTGGGGAGTGGGGCAGAGGAGTGGCTGTCTATAGGCCTCAGAGGCCACTTCTTCCAACAATCATGGGAGGTGATGATAGGACCAGAAGCAGGGTCAGGGCATTAGCCCAAATCTTGAGAAGACAGCCCAGCTTATGGAGTAAGGGCTCAGGCTTTGGAAGTGGGCAGATCTGGTTGTGCAACTTGGCACCGAGTCTTGGCCACAGTGAAGCCTTTGGCAAATCTCTTAACTCTTCTAGGCCTCAATTTCCTCACCTGTAAAGTGGGATGATAAGCGTTCCATCCCAGGACTATCTGAAGATTAGTGGTTCAACCTGTGTAAATTTCTAGCACACAGTAGGTGGTAAATAATGTTGTTTTATAAAGCATCTTACACAGGAATAAAAACTTGAAGTGCTTAGTATTATTCTGTACAGCTGCCTAGCACAAGGTCTGCCTCACAGTAGGTACTCACGAAAGAGTGATTTGTATTACGACTATTATTATAACTATTATCATAATCATGATTGAAAGTGCCAAGTGCAGTACTGGTACAGGCTACATGTTCATTAAAGATCAGCTAGCAAAAAGCTTGGCACACAGTTAGGTAGTCACGAATATTGTGATTGTTACTGTTTAATGTTAGTACTTTTACATGAAGCATCTAGCTGAGGACTGAATTCATTCTTTCATTCATGTAACAGATATTTATTGAGCACCTACTATGTGCCAGGTACTGTTGTAGGTGCTGGGGTACAGCTGGCAACAACATAGAAATCATTGCCTTCATGGAGCTTCTCTTCTAGTGGGGAGAGACAGAAAATAAGTGCAAACAATAGGTGATGCAGGATGTTAGAGGTGAGAAGTGCAATGAATAAAATAAAAATGTGGGGGCTCTGGCACATCAGTGGAAAGGAGGGGTTGGTAGAGGGAGATTGCAATTTTCAACAGGGTGGTCAGGTGGGTCTCACTGACGATTGGGCAAAGACTTGAGGGAGGTGAAGGAATGAGGGAGCCATGAGGGACCTAGGATAAGAACATTCCAGGACGAGGGGTTAGCAAGTGCCAAGGCTAGGAGGTGCCTGGTGTGTTCGTGGAACTAGATGAGCACAACTGGAGCCAGAGGGAGAGGAGAAGGAGATGAAATCAGACAGGTGTGCAGATAAATGATTGAGCGCTTAGGGGCTCTTCAAGGACTCTGGTTTTTCCTGGGTGACGTTAGGAGCTATTGAGTTCTGAGAAGAGGAGTAAAGTGACCTGACGTGTGTGTGAGCAGGGTCACCGGGCTGCCATGTTAAGCTTAGACTGCAGGGGAAAGGTGGGTGGGTAATGTTGCAGTGCAGGCCGGGGATGATGGTGGCTGGACAGGAGGGAGCGGGGAGCTGGTAGGCACTGGATGGATATATTTTAAAGGTAGAGCCAAGAGGATTTGCTGATGGATCCAGTGTGACCTGTGTGCGAAAGAAAAGTCAAGGACAACTCCAGAGTTTTTGGCCTGAGTCACTGGAACGATGGATTCATCATCAATCAAGATGGGGGAGGGTGTGGATGGAACGGGCTCAGAGGAGAACAAAGGTTCAGTTTCGATTTGTGAAGTTTGAGATGTCAGACAGGCAGTTGTGGTATGCATCTGAAGTTCAGGAAAGAAGTCCAGGCCAGGGCTATCTGCTGGGAGTTGTTGGTGTGGAAATGGGATATAAAGCCGTGAGGCTGGATGGGACCACCAAGGGAGGGGGAGAGCAGCTGGAGAAGAGGCAGGGACTGAAGCCTGAGCCCAGGGTCCTTTAAGATTAAGATGTCATAGAGAAGAGAAGGAACCAGGAAAGGAGATGGAACACTCTGTGAGTTGGGAGGAAAACCATGGAGCCCTGGAGGCAGAAGGAAGAAACGTGGTTAGTTGCTGAGCCTGATGGTGATGAGGGGGAGGAGGAAAGTACTGTGCCCAGTAAGAGTTTCTAGGTGATGGGGATGATGGCTGTGTCATTTACCTAGCCCAGGATGTGGTTCTCACTAAAAGCCAGTGTGCTGATGACTATGAGGATGATGGTGTATGTGGCTTGGCCCAGAGCATGGTACATAGTAGGTGCTCAATAATCATGATGAGGCTGAGGTAAGGCACCTGGCCCTAGGGCCCGGCAAACAGTAGGTTCTTATTGCATGGGGCTACCTGGGGACCACGATGCTTGACGATGGTGTAAACCGCCTACCCCTGGGGTGGCTTGCACTAGGTGCTTCCCAAATGATGATGGTGGATACAGCCCTGGGGTGGGGGCAGAGCACCCAGTGGGGCACTCGCTCATGCCACGGCCCCTCCCCTCGCAGATCACCTATAGTGCCATCAGCGATGAGCTGCGAGACAAGGTGCGCTTCCCGGCCTTGCTGCGCACCGCACCCAGCGCCGACCACCACATCGAGGCCATGGTGCAGCTGATGCTGCACTTCCGCTGGAACTGGATCATCGTGCTGGTGAGCGGCGACACCTATGGCCGTGACAATGGCCAGCTGCTTGGCGATCGCCTGGCCCGGGGCGACATCTGCATCGCCTTCCAGGAGACACTGCCCACAGTGCAGCCCAACCAGAACATGACGTCAGAGGAGCGCCAGCGCCTGGTGACCATTGTGGACAAGCTGCAACAGAGCACGGCACGCGTCGTGGTCGTGTTCTCACCCGACCTGACCCTGTACAACTTCTTCAATGAGGTGCTGCGCCAGAACTTCACGGGTGCCGTGTGGATCGCCTCCGAGTCCTGGGCCATTGACCCGGTCCTGCACAACCTCACGGAGCTGCGCCACATGGGCACCTTCCTGGGCATCACCATCCAGAGCGTGCCCATCCCTGGCTTCAGTGAGTTCCGCGTGCGAGACCCACAGGCTGGGCCGCCACCCCTCAGCAGGACCAGCCAGAGGTCTACCTGCAACCAGGAGTGTGACAGCTGCCTGAATGGCACCTTGTCCTTCAACAACGTTCTCAGGCTCTCTGGGGAGCGTGTCGTCTACAGCGTGTACTCTGCGGTCTACGCTGTGGCCCACGCCCTGCACAGCCTCCTCGGCTGTGACCACGGCACCTGCACCAAGAGGGAGGTCTATCCCTGGCAGGTGAGGGGGTGGCTGCCATAGAGACTGCAGGGCACCTCCATCCTCCTCTCTTGGGGTTCTGGGCAAATGGGTGTGAAAGGGCACGGGTATCCCATTCTTCCAGACACATAGCACTAGTCCTTCCTGATGCCAAAACAAAATTGCTTTTTAAATTAATTTAATGCTCACCATTCAAGATAGTAGTCTGTTCTTGGAGATTCAGGTGGAATTCACCAGAAGGAAATCCCACAGGCAGTGGGAACCACAGCCCCGCCGCCCTACCTCCCCCCCCAGGGTTGAGAGCCTGGGACGAGCTTGTGTTTTCCTGTGGACCCTCTAAGGCCTTGCATTGCTTTTATGGATCTTCTCATTACCCTAGTTATCACCCTGGTTCAGACATAGACTTTAAATCTGTTCTTCTGGCTTAACACACACATCCACATCCACAGGCACACACAGAAACCCCCCCCACCACGAAGCCTTCTGGGATATAGAAGGTTTCACTGAGGATCAGAGGAGCAGAGGGGATTTACATTAGAGATGCACACTTTATACTTTGCTATTGGAGATCTCTGTTCTTAAACGGTTCCTTGGCTTTTTCATAGTTTGGGGCCAGCCTCCCACCCTGTTGCTTAGTCACTTCCCTAAACCCTGCCCATCTTCCCTCTTCGTTCTCCCCTTTCGCCACTTGCTAGATCCCTCTCCCATCTTCAAATAAGTGTTCACTTCTTTAACAGAACAAATTAGTTTGCTCTGAAGAAATGAGAAAGTTGCTCTTTCTCATTCTATTTAATTGTACCTCTCTATCCCATAATCTCAGATCCTAACCTTGCAACCATAAACACTTTTCTTTTAAAAGATTACACTTATTCTTTAGAAGGAATTCTGGTGCCAGCTGGTAAAAATACTGCCTATTGCTATATGTCCTGTTACATTAATAATATACATAATTATCATGGGTGCTTTACTGCTCTTTGAGTGCCTACTAGGCGCTGAATGCCTAGTATACATCACATCTAACTCATGACCCTCCTGTGAGGATAATCTACAGGTAGAAAAACTGAGGGACAGGAAGTCAAAGTGACTAGCCCGTGATCGCTCAGTGGTAAGTGGCGGACCCTGGTTTTGAACCCAGGTCTGGCCTATTCTGCTGTGGTTTTCCCACTTCACCTTCCAGGCATCCTCCCGGCTGCAACTGGCAGGAGCTATGATGAAAGACAGGTGACAGCAGAGACCAAAGGGCACCAATCATAGCAACCAGGATGTCCCATCCCTTTTGTTGAGCACCTACTATGTGCCAGGCCTGGGGGACCACCAACCCAGGAGGAGATGAGGACCGTTAAGAAGATCTGTCTGCCAAGCGCAGCAGGAAGTCAAAATTGCAGCTGTGCACGGGGCAGGGGCATCATCACGGTGGGAGAGGGTCAGGGAAGGCAGGGCTGAAGTAGGGAGTGAACAGACACTGGACCTTCCAGGAGGAGAGTGGGAGAGTGGTGGCCTGGCCACGTGGTCAGGCTCGAGTGGCAAAGACTGAGAGGTGACCCAAACTGCAGGTGATACTGGAGGACATCCAGTGCCAGGTGAAGGAGAGGGGGGTTTTGTCCAGAGGCAGCAGGAGTTCATAGAGCATTCCAAGCCCTGAGATGACGTTCTTGAGACAGCCCAACAAGCCAATTTAGAGCTGGGGTGGGGGATGATGCAGTCAAGTAGCAGGGAGCCCAGCCCACCCTATGTAGGCTTCACCCAGGGTCTCCACTGGCATAAACAGAGTCCTTGTGTGAATTAGAAAATGATACCCTTTTGTGCAGACACGTTAGACCACGATGCTCTTTGGCTTCGGATGGACGCAGACCTGTGGCAAGCGCATGACTTGGTGACCTGAGTCGGCTGGACTCCAGCTGTTCCTCCCAGTTGTCCTAACTGGACCCATTCTTGCAGGGCACAACCTGCAAAATGGTATGTGGTGTCCTTACTACCTCCCACCCTCCTTGCCAGGTCACACCACGACACTCTGTTTATTTTTGTTGTAACAGGTATCCCAAGTTGTGATTGTGTTGATATCCTTTGTTTGTTTATTGGCTATTCCCCACACCTCCCAAACAGAGGCCAGTGAGAGCAGGGACCCTGTCAATCCTTTCCAACGCCATATCCCAAGTTGCTGGCACTGGTCTGGCTTGGCGTTGCTTCTCAGTGAATATTGAATGGATGAATGAATGAATGAATGAATGGGTACTTATGTGCTGGACACTGTGTTCACCTCTTTACGTGAATTCTCAGTCATGCCCAGACAGACACTGTTGAGCAGATACTGTGACTACGTGGGTGCTCTCCCATACACAGGTGAAACTGAGGTTTAAAGAAGTGACAGGCACCCAGCTAGGGAGTGGCCAGGGGTGGTGATGAAATAGTGCTGGAGTAGTGGGGATGGGCACCGCTGTGAGAGGCGAGGCAGAGAGAGAGGCCTCAGGGGCGATGAGAAGAGTTGGAGATGACACTGGGTGGATATGCTGCCCGTGGTGATGGTGGTGGTGGGGTCAGATCAGTGGGAGTCTGGGTAAATCCAGGCTGGCAAATTTGTGGCCATCCCAGCAAAAATGCTCAGTAGACTAGCAGGGTGTGGTGGCTCACACCTGTAATCCCAGCACTTTGGGAGGCCAAGGCAAATGAATCATGAGGTCAGGAGTTCGAGACCAGCCTGGCCAACTTGGTGAAACCCCGTCTCTACTAAAAATACAAAAAATTAGCTGGGCATAGTGGAGGGCACCTGTAATCCCAACTGCTCAGGAGGCTGAGGCAGGAGAATTGCTTGAACCCAGAAGACGGACATTGTAGTGAGCTGAGATAGCACCTGTGCACTCTAGCCTGGGCGAGAGAGTGAGACTCCGTCTTAAAAAAAAAAAAAAATTCAGCCAGTCATTGAATCATAGAGGGTCAGGGTTGCGAGGTCTTCTCAGGTTCTGGTCCAATCCTTTTATTTCACAAATGGGGCCCTTGGCAGTGGTCTGGCTCTTCCCCACACACCTCTCTCCACCCCTCTCCACCCCTCGGGCATCTCGGATATGGCCCACCTGTTCGTACGTTGTGAGGCAGGTGGCGGTGAGCTGGGCAGAGCTTAGCAATCAAACCTGGAATGGAATCCCAGCGCTGCCACTACTAGCTGTGCAAACCTGGGCACATTTAATATCTCTGAGCCTTGGTTTTCTCATCTGTTAAATGGAAGGAATCATATGTACCCTGTTGAGTTATTGAGGGCATTTGCAATCATGATGCAAATTACCTGGGGCAGCTAAGAGGCTGAATGTACTCCTCTTCTTCTTCTCTGACACCAAGTGCTGGCCTCAGGAGAGAGTGCGGGGCTGGAGAGGTGGACCTGAGTCTGCCTTAAATGTACAGCTTATGCTGGGGTAGGGGTGGGGCTAGATGGGGAAGGGAAGACAGGGTTCAGCCTGATGAGGGAACCCCAAGGTGCCCAAGCCCCTGCCAATAATAGTCTAGGCTCCCACCCACTCAGGACAATTACAAGGCCAGTGCTTTCTGACCCCTTGGGGGTGATATCTTGGATCCCTCCAGTCCCAGGTGCTCAACCCTGCTTGGGCAGGTCACTACAGAGGTGCAACATGGACACCCAGGACCTGACTCCCAGGGGCCTCCGCCATCCTGATCCTCATCCTCAGGCGGACCACCTGGTTGGAGCCTCCTTCTTCTTGGTGCGAAGGACCATTGCCCTTGGGCCTAGCAACCTGTGCACATTCCAAAGAGTCCTTCTGAATCAGGACCTCACCCGCCGGGCAGGGAAGAGCGAAGGCCAGGACCGGACTCCCTTGGCTACCTGTCTGTGTGTCTGTCAGTCCCTGAGGCCAGGTCAGCCCTAAAGGTGTAGCCGAATGGACACTCCCATTTATGGAAGGAAAATCTAGGAGCGAGGTCCATGGGATATTTGAGCTGAAGTCCTTTCAGGGTTAGCCCAGCAAGGTTCAGAAACTTGCTCAGAGTCACACAGCAAATTGCGGACAGAGCTGGGACTGGACTTTAGGTTGGAGGATGCCCACCTCAAAGTGTGCTCTAGTTTGTCCCAGCTGCTGCCTACTGAGAGCGATGGGGGGCTGGGGAGAGACTGGAATGAGAGCTGACGCTAAGGTCTGGGGAGACAGGAAGGACCCAGGGATCAGGGGAGATCCCAACTGACCTTTGCAGGTGACAGACACAGTGGACTCTGTGCCTCATCTCATGTATTGGGTTCCAGAGGGATGACTGAGGTAACTTCCAGGGAAAAGGAATTCTATTAGCACCTTGGTAGAAGTGATTCCTGTCTCAGGCTCTGCTCTAAGTCCCTAACATAGATGAACTTTTTTTTTTTTTTATAGTTTTTATTGCTCCTACTTTGCAGAAGAAGAAACAGGTTCAGAGAGGTTAAGCAACAGGCCCAAGGTCTCACAGCAAGAGGCAGAGCTGAGGCCTGAACCCAGATATATCTGATTCCAGAGCAGAGCTCTCAGCCACTGACTCCTAAACTGCCACCTTTTTGGAGATTTATTGCCTCCATATTACCGAGTTGGAAATCAAGGCTAGTGGAATGGTAGAATCTTTCCCAGGCCCAGGAAAAATTCTGGCTCGGTTCTGATGCTAGCTCCACTTCCCTTCCCTCTGACCCTGCCAGCTGCTTAAGGAGATCTGGAAGGTCAACTTCACTCTCCTGGACCACGAAATCTCCTTCGACCCTCAAGGGGACATGGCTCTGCACTTGGAGATTGTCCAGTGGCAATGGGGCCTGAGCCAGAATCCCTTCCAGAGCGTCGCCTCCTACTACCCCCTACAGCGACAGCTGAAGAAAATCCAAGACATCTCCTGGCACACCATCAACAACACGGTCAGCCAGGGGGCCTCGTGGGTGGGCAGGCCGGGGGTGGGGCCTGGTGGGTGGGCGGGGCCGGGGGCGGGGCCTGGTGGGTGGGCAGGCCTGGGGCGGGGCCTGGGGCTCATGCTGGAGTTGCTAGGGCTGTTTTCATTATGGACAGAGACTAGAGATTCTTTATCAATTGCTGGGAGATTCTTTATCGATTGCTGTGGGGGATGTCTGTTTGTGGGTGTATAGTCTGGGGTCCTTTCATTCCCCCATTCATTGGGAACTGTGTCTGTTTAGGGCTTTCTAATTTCCCAGGAAGAGGGGCTCAGGGGCCTCTACAAAGTAAACATTCACTGAACATGTGTGTGCCTGGCTTGGTGCTAAGGATTTCAATTCTCACATCAAGCCTGGGGCAGTGGTCCCCAACCTTTTTGGCATCAGGGACCGGTTTTGTGGAAGACAATTTTTCCATAGACTGGGAGGAGGATAGTTTCTGGATGATTCAAATGCATTACGTCTGTGTGCTTTGTCTCTATTATTATTGTTATATATAATTGTGATATATAATGAAATAATTGTACAACTCACCATAATGTAGTATTAATGGGAGCCCTGAGCTTGTTTTCCTGCAGCTAGAAAATCCCATCTAGGGGTGATGGGAGACAGTGACAGATCATCAGGCATTAGATTTTCATAAGGAGCACACAACCTGGATCCCTCACATGCACAGTTCACAATAGGATTTGTGCTCCTGTGAGAATCTAATGCAGAGGTTGATCTGACAGGAGGTGGAGCTCAGGCAGTAATGTGAGCGATGGGGAGCAGTTGTAAATACAGATGAAGCTCTGCTCTTGCTCACCTACTGCTCACCTCCTACTGCATGGCCAGGTTCCTAACAGGCCACAGACTGGTACTGGCCTGTGTCCTGGGGATTAGGGACCTCTGCTTTATCAATAACTGCTAGGATCTCTATTCGTGGGTATACAATCTGGGGTCCTGTCCTTCCCCCATTGATTGGGAACTATGCATGTTCAGGGCCTTCCAGCTCCCCAGGAAGAGGGGTTCAGAGACCTCTGCAAATTAAGCACTCACTGGACATGTGTGTGCCAGGCCTGGTGCTAAGGACTTCAATTCTCATATCAACCCTAGGGCATAAATGCTACCATTCTCTCCATTTTATAGGTTAGGAAACTGAAGGCACCGAGAGGTTGTGTGACCTGTCTGAGACCACACAGTTAGTCCGTGGTGGAGGTTCTCTGTATACAGCATACAGCTAGTCTGTGGTGGCGGTTCTCTATATACAGCATTCAGGCTAAAGCCTGTGATATGGCTTGGCTCTGTGTCCCCACCCAAATCTCATCTTGTAGCTCCCATAATCCCCACATGTTGTGAGAGGGACCCAGTGGGAGATAATTGAATCATGGGGGTGAGTCTTTCCTGTGCTGTTCTCCTGATAGCAGATAAGTCTTACAAGATCTGATGGTTTTAAAAATGGGAGTTTCCCTGCACAAGCTCTCTCTGACTGCTGCCATCCATGTAAGACATGACTTGCTTCTCCTTGCTTTCTGCCATGATTGTGAGGCCTCCCCAGCCCTATGGAACTGTAAGTCCATTAAACCTCTTTCTTTTGTAAATTGTCAGGTCTTGGGTATGTCCTTATAAGCAGCTTGAAAGTGGATTAATACAGCCTATCATTGGATACTCTTGTTTTAGTATGGTAGCTGTGCCTTCAACTGAGTCTGACATCTGTCAATCTAAAGATCCATTATTTTACCCTCTTTAGAGAATAGACCATCAGAATTCTGCTGGAGTAGGAAGGGATAGAGACCTACCTTGTGGAGTTGGGGAGGGGATCTAGGGATCGAAAAGCTTCTGGAAGAGCCTTCATCACTCTCCTTTGCTAATACCCTGCACCCTCTTCCCCCCAATCCCCGACAGCACACTCTATCCCCAGTTGCAGAGGTACCTGAGGCTGTGCATTTCTGAGTGCCTTGAGGATTTTTGTGGAGTATATTAGGGTGGTGTCTGTGTTAGTTTCCTGGGGCTGCCATAACAAAGTATCACAGACTGGGGTGGGTGGGGAGCTTAAACAGATGAAATTTATTGTCTCACAGTTCTGGAGGCTGGAAGTCCAAGATCAAGGTGTCAGCAGGGTTGGCTCCTTCTGAGAGCTGTGTGGTAGAATATGTTCTAGGCCTCTCCCCCAGCTCCTGGTGGTTTGCTGGCACTTATTGATGTTCCTTGACTGTAGATGCACCACCTGTATTAGTCCGCTCTTGAATTGTTACAAAGAAATGCTAGAAACTGGGTAATTAGAAAAGAGGTTGAATGGGCATACGGTTCTGCAGGCTGTACAGGAAGCATGATGCTGGCATCTGCTCAGCTTGTGGGGAGGCCTTAGGAAACTTACAGTCATGGTGGGAGGCAAAGGGGGAGCCAGCTTTTCACATGGCTGGAGCAGCAAGAGAGAGTGAAGGAGGAGGTATCACACACATTTAAACGACCACATCTCACAAGAACTTACTCACAGTCAGGAGGAGAGTGCCAAGAGGATAGTACTAAACCATTCTTGAGAACTCTATCCCCATGATCCAATCACCTCCCAATCACCTCCCACCAGGACTCACCTCCAACATTGGGGATTACAACTGGACATGATATTTGGGTGCGGACACAGATCCAAACCATATCACCACCCCATCTCTGCTTTCACCTTCAGGTAGTGTTCTCCATGTGTCTGTCTCCAAATTCATCCCTTTTATGAGAACACCACTCATATGAGATTAGGGACCCACCCTCCTCCAGGATGACTTCATCTTAACTAATTATATGACTATGTTCCTGCAATGACCCTATTTTTGAATAAGGTCACATTCTGGGGTCCTGGGGACTAGGTCTTCAAGCAGGATATAGTTTAGCCCATAACACTGTCTTAATTTGGGTTTCTCCCAGAAAGCAGAGCCTGAGATAAGGGCTTATGTGCAGAAGATTTATTCCAGGACATGATACATGGACAGGAACAGGAGTGGGAGACTGGGAAGAGTTCCACAGGGAAGAGGGAAAGTTGGTGCAAGAGAACAACCTCAAGCCAGACACTACTCTGAGCAACTGGAGGTCAATCTTACTGGGACCTCCCGAAGAGCTACCTTAGCATTGTCTCCCAGAGATGGGTGGTAGTAATCCACTAGCTCCCATTGCCTGGTGGTCGGGGGTTGCTCTGTGGGGTGTTAGCTCCAGAGGTCTCCCATGGGCATTTCATACGGCAGCCTTAGGGCAGAACACAAGACAGAGCTGTGTAGCCAAGGCCAGGTGCTGACAAATGGCATTTGCTTGAAATTGGTGACTGCAGCAATGGCTGGAGTAAACAGTGGGTAGAGAAAATATGAGGCAGGCCACAGAGAGGTCCATTTCTTGTTCCACTCAGTGGCTTTCCATGAGCCTGGGGAGTCACAGACTTTTTAGACTTTTTAGAGCAGCAGCCAGCTCAGTCTCTAACAGAGAGCTGTTTGGTAGACTTAGCCACAGCCCAAGGTTGTCACTGATATTCATCTCTCTCTTCCACCGACCATTCTGGATTTCTTCACTCCCAGCCAGCATTTGGCTGCTCTCAGTCACTTGCCTGGGTGGTGATCCAGACCTACCTCCCCAAGGTTTCTGGGCCCTTAGTTGCCTTGCCTTTCTGCGCTGTGCCTGCTGCAGATCCCCACCAGCAGGTGCACTGGGATTGAAGCACCCAGGGTTGCCAGACCTACTCCTTGGGTGCCGGACCTACTCCTTCCTACTCCACTCGTGTAGCAACCACCTCAGCTCTACCCACAAATCCAGGTCAGTTACCTCTTCCTTTCTTGACCGTCTCATTCACTGGCATGAGGACCCCAAAATGACCACATGGTAATCATAGAGCCCTATAGTGTCTGCTGGTGGAAGTATTCCCCCTTTGGGGACCAGAATCTCTATTCCAGCAAAGTCTAAGATTGTAGAGAGGAGAAGCACCAATGCTGCAATGGGCCCATGAGAATAATGGTGCATGTAACCAAACTTTCTGGTTGCTGGATACACATATTCTAGCTGTTGGGGCCACAACATATACACAAGCCATTCATTCAAAACTTCATCTTAAAGGGCAGTGTCCCCACCTTGCAGGGCATTCTGAAGATGGTACCTTAGCTGAGCTTTTAGTATGCCATCTCATCCCCTGGTTAGATAGGATACTTCTGGGTAATGTGGTATATGTTAGGATCAGTGGAGCCTCTGATCACGTGCCCATGTCACACCCCTTTACCATGAAGTTGACTCCTGATCTGAAGTGATATGGTATCCTGCATCAGTAAATCATTTGCTCTGGAAGCCCTCAGAAGGTGATGCTGCACTGAAATCAGGGAAGGAAAATTCTTATGAGGTTGAAACACTGCTTCTTCCAGAGAGAAAAGGATCTGATGTAATAGATCTTTCAGCAGTTGGTTGGCTGGTCTCTTTGAAGAATTGTGCCAAGTCAAGGGCTCAACATGGGTCTCTGATGCTGGAATGTTAGGTGTTCTGCAATGGCAGTAACTAGGTCAGCCATGATGAGAGGAAGCTCAAGTGAGAGGAAGCTCAAACTGTTGGGTTCATACCTGTAGCCTCCATCCCTGACATCATGGCTACTCTGTGCAGGCCCTGGGGTGGCTGAGGACAGAAGCCAGCTGACCTCTGTTGGACAAGTCCTCCTCTTCCTCCTCCTCTTCCTCCTCCTCCTTCTCCTTCTCCTTCTCCCTCTCCCCCTCCTCTTCCTCCTCCTCCTTCTCCTTCTGCTGCTGCTTCTTTTTTTTTTTTTCTGAGACAATCTTGTTCTGTTGCCCAGGCTGGAGTGCAGTGGTGCAATCTTGGCTCACTGCAACCTCCGCCCCCAGGGATCAAGTGATTCTCCTGCCTCAGCCTCTCAAGTAGCTGGGATTATAGAAGTGCACCACCACACCTGACTAATTTTTGTGTTTTTAGTTGAGACACGGTTTCGCCATGTTGGCCAGGTTGGTCTGGAACTCCTGACCTCAATTGATCTTCTGATCTCGGCCTCCCAAATTGCTGAGATTACAAACATGAGCCACGGTGCCTGGCTGGGACAAGTCAACCTTTCAATCTGGTTTCTATTATTCTGTGTTTGCTCTCTGGTTTGCATTAACATGAGACACAGAGATCTTCATGCTTTGTGCTCACTCTCATGGATCCATTCATATACCTTTCCCCAAGCAACTTTGTCTCCATTCTTCCACTCTTGCTCCTTCCAGGCCCCTGAACAACCAGCCAAGCTATTCCATAAGTCCAGGATCTCAGGAATATCCATCCTTCCGGACATCTCTCCATCCACACAAAGCAAACAACCAAGTGTTCTGCTTGCACATCTCTACAAACAGGCAGTATCTCCCATCATTACTGTCCTTCAGGATTCACCCTGAAGAAAGCTTTGTATCCCTGAAAAAAGCTTAGTATGGCAGCAGTCCACTGTCAGCTCACATTAACATATCAAACCAACCTACTTGTGAATCATTCCTGAATGTTCTCCTCTATTTATTTGTCATAAAGAATCTCTCCATAAGGTCTTATGTGTGATTTGAGGGAGAGGCATTTGTTATAAGAGAAATAGATACAGGAGTCACGATAATTGATTTAAGAAATTTACTTGGACCCACTGGCGCTTCTTGGATACCATTTCCCTTATATGAAGACTTGCTTTTATTCCTGCCTCTCTACAAGACTCTGTGAATCTGATAGTCACTTGATGTCCTGGGGTCAGGTACTCAGTTTCCATAATGGCCCAGCAGGACTCCAAGAGTTGATTTTCAAGTAGTGAGTAGCATGTTGTGTAGAAGGCATGGCATTGTTGCATCTCTCTCTTAGGGCTTGCCAATTCTTATAAGCATAGATAACTCAAACATCATCACATCTCCTCGATCGTGTGGCCCCAGTGGCAGGATCGCTTACACAGAAGCCAGGGCCTTCTTCAGAGTCATTCTCTGGACCTGTTACCTTCTGCCTTGAAACTGAAACCCTTCTGAATCACCAGATAAATGGGTTGGAGCAGCATTTTCAGGAGCAATTTATGTTGTCCCCCAAATCTAAAGAGGTTCACAAAGTGCCATACTTTCATGGTAGCAGGAGTAGGGTGGATGACTTTTCTATATCTTAGAATGGATGTCCTGGCATTCTCTGTACCGTTAGCCTCCTAAAAACATCACCGATGTGACAGCACCCCCAACCCCAAGTTTTGAATCTTTGTAAGGTTTATCTCCAACCCTCTGGCATTCATAGGTCTTACTTGGATATAAAAGTCCTTGCTACTTTCTACTAACCAGGTCCAATTACCATGGTGTCATGAATATCATAGACCGGCATGATATTCTGCAGAATGTCAAGATGAACAACTTTCCTGTGGACTACGTTGAGATCGAGAGTGAAAGAGTAAACTCTGTGATAAGATAGTGAATGCTAGTGATTTGATAAGATAGTGAGTGTTAATGATGTAACATCTTTCTTCTTTTTAAACACAGATGTTTATAATAATAAATTTCCCTCTTAAGTATTGTTTTCACTGTACCCCATTAATTTTGGTACATTTTTAAAATTTTTTATTTTTATGATAAAAGACATATAACATTTACCAATTTATTTTTAAGCATACATTTCAGTAATGTTAAGTATATTAACGTTTTTGTGCAACAGATCTCTAGAACTTTTTCATTTTGCAAATTTCTAACTATTCCCATTGAGCAACTCCGCATTTCTCCCTTCCTCCAGCCTCTGGCAACCATCCTTCTACTTTCTATTTCTATGAGTTTGACTACCTTAGATACCTCCTATAAGTAGAATCATATAGTATTTGTCTTTTTGTGGGGTTATGTTGCGTTTTTATTTTCATTAATTTCAAGGCATTTTCTAATTTCCCTTGTGAATACTACTTTGATCTATTGTTATTTAAGGGTATGTTGTTTAATTTCCACGTATCTATGAATTCCCCAAATTTCCTTCTGTTATTGATTTCTATTTCATTAGATTGTTGTTGGAGAACATACCTGTTATTATTGCAGTCCTTTCAAGTTTATTAAAACTATGTTTACTATTTGCTATAAATAAATAGCAATCGTGTCAGAGGCCAAAATTTTCTCCAATGTCTCCCATTTTATCTTTGGTTTTCCCTAGATATTCCTTCTTTTTTTTTTTTTTTCTTTTTTTTTTTTTTGAGACGGAGTCTCGCTCTGTTGCCCAGGCTGGAGTACAGTGGCGCGATCTCGGCTCACTGCAAGCTCCGCCTCCCGGGTTTACGCCATTCTCCCGCCTCAGCCTCCCGAGTAGCTGGGACTACAGGCGCCCGCCACCTCGCCCGGCTAGTTTTTTTTTTTTGTATTTTTTAGTAGAGATGGGGTGTCACCGTGTTAGCCAGGATGGTCTCGATCTCCTGACCTTGTGATCCACCCGTCTCGGCCTCCCAAAGTGCTGGGATTACAGGCTTGAGCCACCACGCCCAGCCGATATTCCTTCTTAAATGCAGTCTCAGCCTTGCAGTTATTTCGGCTGTATCCCTTGATTGACGTGGTGGTGAGATAGAGGGGAAGTGTTCTGTAATCCTGTGATTAGGTCTCAATCTTTCAATAAGCCTGTGCCCCAGAACTGTGACCTTCATAAGTGCTTCTCACCCCACCCCCTTAGGTAAGACAAGAAGGCTAGAGAGGGCTGGAGTTGGGATTTTCTCTTTTCCCATGTCAGTTAAGTTCTGGTAAAATTCACATCAGTTGGGTTCTGGTAAAATAGTTTCCCTTGAGGAAAGGCATTTGTTAAGCAGAACAGAATGCTCTGAGCATATTTCAAAATGGCTCCTTTCCTGCTAGAAGCATGAGGGTTTTTTTTTTTCCCTACAGTTTCTACCCCAAAAACATAGGGGGCTCCTAGACTTCCTCCCCTGAACATCCTGCTGGTTGGAGAGGGGAGGAGGCCCCCAGAATGTGGGAAAAGAGGACTCAGGGTCTCTTGCCCTCCCCCCTCCAGATCCCTGTGTCCATGTGTTCCAAGAGGTGCCAGTCGGGGCAAAAGAAGAAACCCGTGGGCATCCACATCTGCTGCTTCGAGTGCATCGACTGCCTTCCCGGCACCTTCCTCAACCAGACTGAAGGTATGATTCGCGGGCCGAGCACTCCTGCCCTGCCCCTGCCCCGCCCGTGGAGTCTCTAGGGCTTGTCTCCTTTGGCAGGGTCTCTGGAGTCTCCCCCAGGGGGTGTGAATGTCCAAAGCCCAGGGACCTGATCTGATTCCTCTTGTATCCCCCCAATACCTAGTGTAGAGCAAAATCCTCCGTACAGGCTGCTTCAGAGAGGGAGGGAGAAGGGAAGCGCCAACACTCCCCCAAGCCGGACTGCAGCTCATCCCACTCCACACACACATAGCCCGGGGCCCAGGGAGCCAGGCTGGGGAACACCCACTGGATGAATGAATGAATGAATGAATAGTGTTTGCAATAGGAGGAAAGTTTCTGGAAGACAGGGAAAACACTCTCTCATTTATCCCTCTGGCTTCCCAAGTGCCTAGCATAGCTCAAAGCATAGCCTGGTTGCTCAGTGGGTGCTTGTGGAATGACTTCCTTGATGAGAAGAATGATCATTTCTCCCCGTAGAACATAAAATCTAGGAATGTGCAGGCAACGTCACCTCGGTCCACATTAGTGTTTAGCACAGTTCAGAGTTGGAGCTCAATTTTTTTTCATGGCTTCATGTAAATTACATGGATGAAGACATTTACCAATACAAGCATTTTATATGTACCTAGCAGACCACAGGACACAGAGGAGGTGGTGAACGAGTTTGTGGAATGATTTCATTGGCCTTCCTCCCACAGTCAGTCAAAAGCAGGGAGGTGAGGGCTGGGTTTTATCCATCTCTCTGTGGCCTTCCACCCCAGGTCCCTATCACAATGGATGCTGCTCAAAAACACATGTATTGAATGCATTCTTTGAGTAAGTAGTTGAATGCCTCTCACACCAGAGGGTGAGGTCTTGGAAGGGAGGAACTATAGTTGGTAGGCTTTGGGTCAAGGAGACCTGGGTTCAAATCCTGCCTCTCTAACTTGCTGACTTCGGGCAAGTTACTTAACCTGGCTGAGCCTTGGTTTCCTCATCTGTGAAATGCAGTTGCTGTGAGGATTTGATGAGCCAACGCACATAAGAGACTTGAGGAGTATTGGCTGTGAATGCAAGGGTTGCCCTTGCTGCTCTCTCTCCATCCCTGGGGCCTGGCCCTGTGCAGGGCTGGGAGGATGCAGGTGCTTGGGAGACGGGCTTGGCTAATGGGAGTCGCTGTGGGCTTTTGCAGATGAATATGAATGCCAGGCCTGCCCGAGTAACGAGTGGTCCCACCAGAGTGAGGCGTCCTGCTTCAAGCGGCGGCTGGCCTTCCTGGAATGGCATGAGGCACCCACCATCGTTGTGGCCCTGCTGGCCGCCCTGGGCTTCCTCAGCACCCTGGCCATCCTGGTGATATTCTGGAGGCACTTCCAGACGCCCATGGTTCGCTCAGCTGGGGGCCCCATGTGCTTCCTGATGCTGACGCTGCTGCTGGTGGCATACATGGTGGTCCCGGTGTACGTGGGGCCGCCCAAGGTCTCCACCTGCTTCTGCCGCCAGGCCCTCTTTCCCCTCTGCTTCACCATCTGCATCTCTTGTATCGCCGTGCGCTCTTTCCAGATCGTCTGTGTCTTCAAGATGGCCAGCCGCTTCCCGCGCGCCTACAGCTACTGGGTCCGCTACCAGGGGCCCTACGTCTCCATGGCGTTTATCACGGTACTCAAAATGGTCACTGTGGTGATTGGCATGCTGGTCACAGGCCTCAATCCCACCACCCGTATTGACCCCGATGACCCCAAGATCATGATCGTCTCCTGCAACCCCAACTACCGCAACAGCCTGTTCTTCAACACCGGCCTGGACCTGCTGCTCTCAGTGGTGGGTTTCAGTTTCGCCTACATGGGCAAGGAACTGCCCACCAACTACAACGAGGCCAAGTTCATCACCCTCAGCATGACCTTCTATTTCACCTCATCTGTCTCCCTCTGCACCTTCATGTCTGCCTACAACGGGGTGCTGGTCACCATCATGGACCTCTTGGTCACTGTGCTCAACCTCCTGGCCATCAGCCTGGGCTACTTTGGCCCCAAGTGCTACATGATCCTCTTCTACCCGGAGCGCAACACGCCCGCCTACTTCAACAGCATGATCCAGGGCTACACCATGAGGAGGGACTAGTGCCACCCGGTGGCGTCTGGGAGGGAGGGAGGGCCACGGCGTTGGGAGGTGGAGGCCAGAGGTCTTCCCTGGCTGGTTCAACCCCAGAAAGAAGCAGGGAAGGCATCCCCGACTACTCCCACCTTGCCCTGGTTAATAATTTAGCATTCCTTGGAGGTCCTTTGCATCTGGGCCATTTTTACCCACTTAGTGATGGGTGTCTTAAAACATCCACACTTCATTGCTTTCCCTTGACCTATTTTACACGCCAGGCACTGCCATCTTCTAGGAAAAAAAACCACCCAAGGTGACCTATTGGTCTCCAAGGACAAAGTCTCATTTAGTAGCCTACAGCTGCCATCTGGCGGTCGCAGTGGGCACCTGCGGGTTGCAGCTCATTCCCTCACTCATGTTCAAGGCAAAGGGAGGCCTTGGGTGCGCTGGGCTGGGTGCCCTGGGCTGGGTGGGCTGGGCTGGTCCAGGGTTGGTGTGGGCGGGTGGGGCCTGCGGGTCAGCACGTGAGCTCAGATAGTGCAGCCATGGCTCCATTTGGTAGCCGTCTCACATGTCCATTTCCTTTCCTTATTCCCGAAGCGCTTGGGCCCAGGTCCCTGGGTTATCTCTAAGGGATGGCCAGGCATAGCGTGCTTCCCAAATGCTTGTGAATAAACCTCACTTGGGTGAAATGAATGCACTTCCTTCCTGTTTTCTGACGTCCCCTGAGAAAGAACATATGGAATCAGGAGACCTCAGTCTCAATCCCAGTAGTGCCACTTCCAAACTGTGTGACGTTGGGCCATTGTGTTGACTATGAGAGGACAACAGTTAACATTTATTGCCAAGTCCCTGGTTAAGAACTTTACTACTTTACCCATGTATTCCTCACAAAACTCTATTGGTTGTGTGCAATTATGCTCCTTATTTTACAGATGGTGGGGTGAGGGCAGGGGCAGGGGCAGGAAGAACTCAAAGAGGTTATGGAGCTTACCCAGAGTCATAAAGCTTGTCTGAGCACCCCCCCCTTCCCCTCCCCAGAGCCCATTCCTGGAGCCACTGTCCTCTACAGAGTAACATCCAGGCAGCCCTGCCGGGGAGGCTCTCCCCACCACAGTGCACAGGGGGAAGGCTCAGGCTTCCTGGACAAGGACCTTGCTCTGGCAGGGGCTTCAGATTTTAAGCAGGTGGCTGGTGGGTGCAGTGGCCAGGAAAGCCTTTGAGAGAAGCTGGCATTTGGAAAGAGCCTTGAAGGACAGAGAAGTGTTGGAAGGCAGGACGTTTGGGTGTGTGGGGGAGGGAAGGTGGGGACAGCAGGAGGAAAGGTGGGATGGAAGGAAGCCCAGGCAGTTTCAGGGGGAGCGTGTGGCTGAGAGTGGCCGGGCTGTGAGAACCCAGCTTCAAAGGACAGCTAGGGCCAGATGTGGGGTGCCCGGCCCCAGGTGTCTGGATCTTGTCTTCTCTGGGTGGCTACTGTCAGAATCCTGTGCACATGCTGGTTTACCCCTCTCCTGGATCACCTGATATGCCATCTTGGCCCTTTCTGGCCACTGTGACCAGCCTCCTCTGCGGCTGGGTCCTCTTTCCACAGTCTCCAGGGCTGGCCTGGCCTAGTGGGCTGGAGGCTGTTGGGCGCAGACCCCAAGGATAGACGGTCAGGGTCTTTCCAAAATGTCCCTTCTCTGTCCCGTCCACTCACTTCCCAGGGGAGCCCAGAGGCTGGGCCGAGGCCCATCCCAGCCCCGATGGGCCTCCCCTTTCAGGGAGCCACTCTGCATGATCCATCCCTGGGTGCAGCTGTGTCCCATCCCCCTTGCCCTGGGGACCAGATTGTCAGAGGCTCAGGGAGTTTTAAGCTGTTAATTCTCTTTTCTTGCATGCTTCTGATGCCTTGGTTTAATTTTTTTTTTTTAAGAGATAATCACTGAATTTCTTGGTTCTGCCTCGCGGACCACCATGAGAGAAGAGAATGCTGGAATCCCACTGACCTCAGAGGGCCTCTACTCCACACCTCCTAAAGCAGCCCAGAGGCTGGGATCTTGAGCCTTTAATGTTCCCCATCCAGTGATGGGAGCCTCACCAGGACAACTGTAGTTATCAAAAAATTATTCTTCAATTGAATCAAAACCCTACTCCCTGGGATTCCAGTTTATGGACACTAGTTTTATCCTTTGGGACCATGAATTAAATCTAATTCTTAGCCTAAGCATGGTAGCTCACGCCTGTAATCTCAGCACTTTGGGAGGCCAACGTGGGAAGATTGCTTGAGGCCAGGAGTTGGAGATCAACCTGGGCAATGTAGCAAGACCCCTTCTCTACAAAAGTAAAAATTAGCTGGGCATGGTAGTGAATGCCTGTAGTCCCAGCTACTCAAGAAGCTGAGGTAGGAGGATCTCTTGAGTGCACGAGTTCAAGGCTACAGTGAGCAGTGATTGTGCCACTGCATTGCAGCCTGGGAGACAGAGCAAGATCTTGTCTCTCCCTTCCCCCCCCCCAAAATCGAATTCCTCTTTCTCATGATGCATTTTACACACAATAACAAAAAGAATTGCCTTTCAAGGAGCACCTGCTGTGTGCCAGGTACTTTTTACACATTATCTCCAGTCCCCACAATGACCATGCCCCATGGGTACCAGTGATGTTGGTGGACACAGGCTGATGCCTCCCACACCCCTTCCCTCTGCCCTACCCAGCAGCCCCTATATGGTTCCAGGGAAGATGAGGCTATCTCCTGGCTCCAAGGGGTGCAGCCGGTGACCTAGGCCAAGCCAATCAGCACTGTTCTTCCCAGTCTGCAGTGATTGGCTCAGAGGTGGGCACATGACTTTTGGTTGGTCCAATCAGAAAGACTCTCAGAACTTTTGCTAGAACCAAGCTTGTTTGTAAAGGAACTTGCAAGGCTCCAGACCGAAGAGCTGGGGGCAGTTCTTGTGGGATCACGAGGCGAGTCAGCCTCAGGGGAAAGCTGAACCTTACAGAAGGCAAAGAAGAAGGATAGAAAAACTCAGCCCTTGAAACTCTTTGTGAGCTATTGGATCTCACCTGACCGCAGCCCTGCCTCTGAAACCTTCCATTTCATGAGTCAGTTAATATTCCTTATTGCTTAAGTTAGCTTGAGTTGGATTTTCTGTCCTCTGCAACCCAAAGCATCCCTGTACTACTGTAAAGGAAACTGAAGCTCAGAGACGCTGATTAACTTGCCCAGGGTCACCCAGCTGTTAAGTGAGCGAGCTAGGATTTGGGCTCAAGGGGGGATTTGGGAGGGGTTACAACAATTGGGTTTTCCTCACGTCATCTCTTCTTTGGTCTGAAGGTCCCCAGGTGCTCTTAGGACCTGATTTAGGTCATCATCCTGGTCCTCTCCTTTAGACACACTCTGATGTGCAAGCTTCTCTCTTCGACCACTTTTCGAGCTTTCCTCTTGTTGGTCCCTGTCATCCTTCCCAGATCCACAGTCTCTGGCCACCTGAGTGATGTCCCCTAAACCAGTCACAGTCAGGAGCCCTCCTGCCTCAGGAACCTCTTGTGGCTCCCCAGCACCTGGACTGTCAGTCCTCATTAACATTTTTGGTACATTATTGGAAACTGTGACTTTCGACAAAAAGACAAGGCATATAGTGAACCAATATTTTGTTCTCATCCATATTATAACATATTATAATGAAACAGGTTATTTGAGGACCTGCTGTAAGTCCTTTCACTCAAAGTCGCAGTTTCAAAAAACCTATCCACGACAGCATTAAGTGAGGACTTCCTGGACAGTCACGCCTGACCTCCTGTGTGTGTGGAAAGCCTCACAAAGTCTGAATCCTGCTCGTCTTCCCAGCCTCATCTCCTGCTTAACTCTTTTCCTTGACACTTACCACTGTCTAATGCATTATATGGTTCACTTCTTTGTCTTTATCTCTCCCAATATACTGCAAACTCCATGAAGGCAGAGAATTTTGTGCATTTTGTTTGCAGATGTGTCTCAAGAACCTAGAAAAGCACTTGGCACAGAATGGTGCTCAGTAGGTGCTGTTTGAAAGAAAGAAAGAAAGAAAGAAAAATAAAGAGTGAATGAATGAGTGAAACAGAACTTTAATGGATCGTGAGGTCAGAAGCCAGGAGAACTTGCAGCAGCCCAGGAAGTAGGGAAGGTAATGGACAGAGTGAGTCTGTGAGGAGAGGGTGTTGGAGGCCAACACCTCATTCACTCATTCATTCATTTACCCACTCATTCACTTATTCATTCACTTAGCACATGGCTATTGAGCAATACTAAGGGTCAGGCCCTGTGTGGCACCGAGGGTCTGCAACCAAGAGCATAGTCCCTGTTCCCAAGCAGCTCACATTCTAGTGGGGGACTCAGGACACCAGGCAGATGCTCACAACACCATGCGGTCGTCTGTGATGGGGTGGTTCATGGTGCCACAGAGACACCCAGAAAAGCTTCTTGCCTTGGGAGTTGGAGGAAGGCTCCCTGAGCATTCAGGCATCAAGTAGAGACCTGAAGAATGAATCACTGTGAGCCAAGCAAGGGAGATGTCACCAGGGGTGCACCAGAGGAGCGGCCTGGCCAAGGACCCAGGGCAGGGAGACTGGGAAGGTCAGAAAAAGAGTGGGGGCTAGTGGAGCTGGAGCTGGAGAGAAAGTGGGTGAGCTGGGGGAGAGGAAGACAGGGAGACAGGGAGAGGCGGGCAGGGGCAAATAGAGGGAAAGAGAGTGGGGAGACAGGAGAGAGGGAGGAAGGGAGTTGGAGGTGGAGGCAGAAAAGGGAGAGAAGGGTATAGAAGGGAAGAGGGAGAGAAGAGGGAAAAAAGAGAGGGGAGGGGGGAGAGAGAGGAGACAGGAGGAGACAGGTGAGAGGGAAGAAGGGAAGGAGGACAAAGGAGAGAGAGAAAAGGGAAGGAGAGTGCATTAGTCTGTTTTCATGTGGCAATGAGGACATACCTGAGACTGGGTAATTTATAAAGAAAAGAGGTTTAATAGACTCACAGTTCCACAAGTGAGGAGAGGCCTCACAATCATGGTGGAAGGTGAAGGAGGAGCAAAGGCACGTCTTACATGGTGGCAGGCAAGAGAGCCTGTGCAGAGAAACTACCCTTTATAAAACCATCATATCTTGTGAGACTGATTCACTATCTTGAGAACAGCATGGGGAAAACCTGCCCCCATGATTCACTTACCTCTCACTGGGTCCTTCCCATGGCACTTGCGGATTATGAAGGCTATAATTCAAGATGAGATTTGGGTGGGGACACAGCCAAACCATATCAGAGAGGAAGGGAGAAACTGAGAGGAAAGAAGAGAAGAAGGGAGGAAGTGGGGTGGGGGAGGGGAGAGAGAGAGAGAAACCATTGGGCTGTGCAGTTCTGGTTGGGGGCCCTCACCCCTCTGTGCTGCCCTTCCCTTCTGTGCGATGGGGTATGATGCCAGCATTGCCCTCCCGGGGCTGCTGGGAAGCTTGAAGCACGAATGCCTGGCATGTGCACAGGTTTT